TGATCGCATCAAACTTGGTTAGCACACTGCTTTCCGACCTTTATCCTGGCAGTGTGTCGACAGCTTCCACAGCATCAAATCTTCTTCGCTGCATGTTGGGGCCCGTTGGTGCTGCGGTGGTGAATGACATGCTAACTTGGATGGGGCTGGGCTGGTCTTTTATCTCTGCCGGCTTGCTCATGGTAGCATCTACTGGTTTCTTGGATTCCGAAGTGAGGTGGGGTATAGGCTAGCGACAGAAGCGCTGGCAAAAGTCAGAGGAGAAGCGACAGGCTGAGAAAGAGAAGAAAGCTCTAGAAGAGGCCGAAAAGGATCGTTCTGTATGAGTTTGTGAGGATAATTGCACTGCGGTCGGATGCGGTCTTGGTCTGCGTTGTTCGTGGAGGATGGTTTCCGACAGCAGGAAACCCTGTATGGGCTTCCGCGTGTATCCTGGGGTGTAATGTAATATATCGAGCTGAACCGTGAGCGGTTGCGGACGGCGGCGCAGCCTTGTCTGGTACGGAGCAAATCCAACAAATCCATCCAGCCTAACAGAGTCGACTATGGAAGGATTAGTTGGAGAAGGAGAAAGAAGAGAAACAGACAGCCCCGGAGTCTGGGAGCAAGAAACCATGGTGGTCTTCAAGCCCAGAAGATCTCAATTACAAAGCCATGGCTAACTTGGAATCCAGATACTGGCAACGCTGATATCGACCCGGGGAAACGGATCATCAAGACGCACGTTATGGGAAGTGATCCCCGGGACATTCGCAAGGGAATTAGAAGGGAACGACTGAAACTTTTGCCAAAGATTCAGATGAGTGAGGCTGAAATAGCTCCTTCGAGAACTGATGAGAACTTATGCTGATACTTCAGACGACGGCATGGACTCGGCGCTCCAAATGGGCTGGGACGGGACGCTCATTTTTCCAATGGCCCTTATCTCTCTTTCATGCTTCTAGAGGCAGTTAATATCTGTTCAGCTCCATCCTGGTCCTGTCAGTTCAACGCCCACTTGCTCGCCCACATTCACCTGCACTGGGTTTTATGTCTCGTCCTGAGCTCGAAATGTACTCTCAAGTCGACGACATCTTATCGTGGGGTGTACCAGGGTAAATCGACATCCAGCTCACCTTCCGTCCAGACGACAGTGACGCCAATATGCCTTTGTTCCTAAATACTCGTTGGAAGGGGCTGAAATTAGACCTCTCAGGCGGCTCGACGGCGTTGTGCGAGCTTTGTCCTAGTATAGTGTCGCGCAGCACAGGGTTCATCACTCTCCGAACGGGCTGTATCCCGCATCGGGACGCGAGTGAAGCCGATGAACACTATACCGGGGTCTACGTATCGGCTTGCGGAAGTTGGGTGAGCTCAAGCACGCCGTGCGACCAACCACGATATCATGAGATTACGCTTACTCGCGGACTGTTCTTCTCCACAATTAGCCTCGATGAAATGATCAAGTCAAGTGCCCGCGTTATGCTACCCTCCCAGATTCCATAGTGATAAAGAGTCCGAGTTGCGAAGACCCCGCATGGTCAGCCAAAATGAAACGGTTACATCGCTCAATACTGGCGCCTGGTTCATCACCATAGCTTCACAGCATCATCGCAATATAAGTGTCGCCTTATCTTTCCCTTCTTCGTCATTTCCACCACTATTGTCTTGACGAAGCCAAGCTCGGACAAGCTCGGACAAGCTCGAAAGCCAAGTCGAGAAGCCAAGCCAACGATGGCTGAGAAGACTATGTTCGATAGATCCGACAACGAGAAATCAACGTCATCACCACCAGCCGCTCGGTCGTATTTTCCGCCTAGTCAACGCCAAATCCATGACTCCAGCGTGACTTTCGAGGAATACTACTACTATGCGCAGCGTACCCGTGAAGAACAACGACAGCTGCAATCTCCACAATGGCAATGGCGCACCGTCTTCTCTTCACGAAAGAAAACTGCAGATCCTGTAGAAGAGGAGCGTCAATCTAAGCCACACGCTGGTGGAGTCGTTACCGAAGAGGAATGGTCAAACGCGAGTCGGGCATTCCGTACAGCTTCATGGGGAGCAGTATTCTACCTGGTGAGCGGCTGTCTCAAAAGACAGGTTGAGAGCTAATGGTCTAGATCACCACCGATATCCTTGGCCCGTTTGCTGTTCCGTTCGCCATCGGTACCCTCGGTTTCGGCCCAGGCTGTGGCATCTTCACAGCCTTCGGAATCGTCAGCGTTTACAGTGGGTATCTGATCTGGAGGGTCTTCATGGGAGTCGACTCGCACGAGTTTCCAGCGCGCAACTATGGCGATCTAGCATTCCGAGCATGGGGAACAATCGCTCGCCATGTCGTTAACGTCCTCCAGGCAATCGCCCTCCTCCTGCTCCTGGGTCAAGTCACAATCCTGTTTGGTCAAAACATTTCGGAGATGTCCAAATACCGCATCTGCTACATTGTCTGTCCCCTGATATTCGTCATAATCGGATTTTTCTTGACTCAGATCCGTACCTTGAGGAACTACGGGTGGATTGCCAACTTCGGATTCTGGCTCAACATTCTTGCAATCTTTGTCTCAATGGGGGCTACAGCGCACAATCCGCCCAATTTTGCAATTGCAACATTGGGATCAGTCGGAAGTATGACGTGCTGGGTCAAATTTGAAAGCAAGGACTGACATGATCAGGTACAATTGACCCAACGACCATCACCCCTGTAAACGGTGTCTATCCTCCTAAAGTGCATTATGGATCGCTTCCTACATCGAATCTCCTCGGAGCTGTCAATGGCATGCTCTCAGGAGTATTGGCATATGCGGGTCTTCAACTCTTCGTCGAGTTCATGTGAGTACTCCCCAAAACCACGTACCGAGTTGCCCAGGATTCCAAGATCCTGGTTTTGCTGATACATGTCCTGAAGGCTAACAACAAACCAGGGCAGAAATGAAAAGACCTCACGATTTCCTCAAAGGCATGTTTGTCGCTCAAGCGGCTATCTACGTGGCTTATGTCGTCTACGGTTGTTTCATCTATTACTATCAAGGACAGTACACTTTCAATCCCGCATACCTCGGGGTTTCCGATTATGGATGGCAGACAGTTGGTTCGTCCACTTTCCGTCCTTCTCCAGGCATCGTTAATTCCCAACAGGCAATACACTCACCCTCATAAGTGGTCTAATCGCCGCAGGTCTATATGGAAACATCGGTATCAAAGTCTTTTACAACAATGTCCTAGTCGACATCTTCAGAGCTCCATTGATGACCACTAAACGAGGAAAGGTCTTTTACGCCGCAATTGTCCCGGTCTGGTGGTCTGTCGCATTCGTCATCGCCGCCGCGATTCCCGCATACGTCTACTTCGTCGGCGTCATGTCCGCGTCCTGCTTGCTGAATCTATCATACACAATTCCGCCGTGGATCGCGCTTGGTTACGATATCAAGAAGCACACTCTGGGCACATTTGATCCCGCGATAGGTCGAACTTCTCGAGGTATGACTGGCGTGAATCGGTACATTCGCGGATTCTGGTCTGGAGGTATTCTTCAAATCTCAATCAACGTCTGGCATGTGTTGTATTTCCTGGCCTCGCTCGGAATGTGCGGACTGGGAATGTGGGCTTCCATCCAAGGGTAAGTTGTCTCACACGTCTGTTTTCGAATGGATCTGACGTCCTGTAGCATGATCGATGCCTTCAAGATTCCAGAAGTCAATTCATTCACTTGCACATCCCCTTTGAACATTAATGGAGGCTAGGGTGTTGTCGCGCTGTTTTCGAATAACATTACGGTTATATTGGATAAACTCGTGGGCCACATCAGCGAACCGGAAGAGCTAATAACAGAGATCGGGTTGATCTCCACCAGGGTTCGTCCGGGTCGGCACTGCCTCTGGCACATCAACCCCCACGAATAGTGAGACAATTGGTGATCGTTCACCCGTGTCACTTGTCTCGATCGGGGGTGAGGTGCCGGGCATTTAGCCGGTCGAAAGCTCGGACGGCTTGTCAGGAGCTCCTGTGTCATTTTCACTGTCTTGTGCCGATTGAACGGATGTTAAACGTGACATAATCTATCAACTCCCAGAATGCCAGCCTTCCGTCTTGTGAAAAGTATATACAATCTTGGTCCCTCAGAAGCGCTGTACCCAATTTGTCAGCAGGTACTGACACGTCCGTCTTGCTCCCGTTACTGGAGCGGCAAAGCATACGAAGTTAATTGCCCAGAATATAGAATGTCAGTCAGCACGAAGACTTGTGATAGACTTCCACACCAGAAGCCTTTTTTCCCTTCTTCTTTCGGAATCGTTGCTGTTGATATCGAGATCTTGAAACCCCGCTGTGCATTAGATTTGCTATCTGCCCGATGTCACCCACAGAGGAAGCCACAATCCGGGCGACAGCTGCACAATTCTTCAACGCCATCGAAGCTGGCGACATCGCGGCGATGAAAAGCCTGCTCACCCCGGACGCCGAGGTTTGGCACAACACCGACGAACTCACAACTTCCCCGGAACACACGGCCAGGGTTCTCGCCGGCATGGTCGAGCGCATCACCAATCTCAAGTACTCCGATCGTCGTCTCGATGTTTTCCCGGGAGGTTTCGTCCAGCAGCATTTGTTGGAGGGTAATAGGATCCACGACGGCGAAAAGGTGCGATTGCCGGCAGCGATCATAGCTCGGGTGGAGAATGGCAAGATCAAGAGGATAGACGAGTATTTCGATACAGTTCACCAGGCGACGTTCCGCAAATTTGTAGGAGTTCCGCTAAAGTTATGAATGATTTTTATTTTTCCCCTTCCGGGCTGGGAAAATGGATTGGGCCAGTGGCTTGGTGCGCAAACGTATTTCGAACCTGGCCTTGATACGGAGTCCGGAAATACCAGCTTCTACAAATCCTCTGCTAAAAGTTTTTCGTGCACAACAGCATGAATACACTGTCTTCACGTAAAGTTGGGCGAGAAGATAGAGTATATCTGAATCTTGAAAGCTGGCATTGAAGGCCCGGCTATCAAATTGTACAATATGCACGAATTCAGACGCTGGCCCACACACCGAAGCACTTCTTGTTCGATTCCTCATCCTGACAAGTCTCGGAGTCTTCTTGACTTTGAAATGCGTACCACAGCGTGTGCAAGCTTGGCTGCGCCGGTTGAGGATTAGAGACAGGGACATCCCCACGAAAATCGGGATATCTTTGGAAAAAGTCCGAGTTCATCGTCCAGCATCGTATGTCTTGCATGCTGGCCAGGAAGCGGGGTGACAGATGGCACAATCCCGTCTGGAAATTCAAATTGAATGCTTCTTTAAAGTCGTACGGCCAGAGAAATCGGAACATTGTGTGCGTGGCGTGCAAAAAGACGTCGGTGTAGTAGTCATGGCAGATAGAGAGTCTCTCGCGGAAGCCTGGCCTAGACAGAAGTAAGCGGGAGATTATCATAGGCGGAACCCGTGGCCTGTGCCTACCAGACGTAGCTGTCGGCAATTACTGAGTGAGGAAATGCGAGTTGCGAAGGCCTCCGTGAAATTCTCAGTTAGCAACGAGTTGGCACTGATAACCCTATGGGGGAGTCAAACCTTGATTTTATGAACGGTGGCAGGATTTTCGACCAGCTTGTTCCAGTAGTCTGCTGCATCATCTAGGCTTGTCAGTAATGCCAGCACGGCCCTTCAAAGGAGGGCTACTCACATCCTGTTTGATCGTTTGACTTGCTATCGTCAAAATTGCCAAGCGTTCAACATTGCTGTAGTTTGGTGCAAAGTACTTTTCGTCCAATTCGCGCAGACAGCTCCATCGCGCGTCGACCATGACCGCTTGAGAGAATTGTGTCCAACCCTGCGAGACTGCGGCGATGATGATGTGCATGTCGAGCTCAGTGTCGCCTAGGGTCGAAGCTGACTTTGTGTGGGAAATCAGCTGTTCAATGTATCTCCAGATCTTGCTGTGACGGCCATCAAGGACTGATTGTGAGGAGGGCAAAGGGCTGCTCTCGACGGCGCCTGCCATGGCACCTAGCATCGGGGGAGGCCAGGTCACAGTATCACCTTCTACATTAGGGGCTGAGAGCTCTGCGAGGAGTGCGTCCAAAGTGTCATTCTTTTCGGCTGGTAGGAAACAGGTGGAATCTGGCCCAGGCTCCGAGGATGCTGCCTCCAACAGCGACGGATCGACCGCTGAGAAAGTCGCGGGGTTTGGCGAGGGACCAAGAGCATCTGCATCGCTCTTGTCACTTGGAACATCTTCAGGCTGACCTAGATCAGCCAAGTCGGCCTCGATCAAGCCCTTGATTTGAAGCAGTCTTTTCCTGTGTCGCAGCATTCTCTCCTCGTTGAGGTCCCGCTGCGTCATGAGGCTCGAGACCAGGCTGCTTGCCTTGTCTTGTTGAAGCAATTGGACATTCTCCTGCAATCGCTGTAGATGCTCTCGGTCTCTCTTGCGCTTTCTTTGCTGGTTCATTCGATCCATCTGACGCTTCTTCGCCCGCCGACAATCAGCAGAGAGCTGTGGCTTTAGCACCGACGCCGTTGGTGACTGCTCCTGACTTGGCATGATTGCTGTGAGTCTCTCATTCAAGATATGTCGGCGTTACAGCCTGGCGCTTGGTGGAGAAGCTATAATATGGCAACGAGAAGTAGTCATACCGCTAGACCCTGCATTGTTGCCTTGTTCTTCCCTCGTATTCTTGGAGCGGGGTCGGCGCTGCTAGCCCCACAGATCATTCAGAGCATGGGTTGTTGCCTCGGAATAGAGGCTCGAGTTTACTGTACGCGAGATAGTTCGTCAGTCCTGTTTAGACCAGAACCATATTGTTATTTGTCTTTGAGAGCAACCTAATCCAAGATCCGATGTTCGGCGTCTATTGGCAAGAGTAGGTTCGTCTTGCTCTTAAGCATGTTGTGGGTGAGAGTCAGCCGTCACTTCAACTTGCACCGGCTTCGGAGCTTGACATTTGTGAAATTGCCTATTTGAAATACAGCACTCATATTCACCTCTGTAACCGAGATACAAGTCACTTTCACAGTCTGGGCTTAGCATTTGCTTCCCTGGTCTTCAAAACATCCTTCCACTCGATGGCCCAGTCGGAAACCCACAAGGGACACTCGGTCTCGAGTAAGAAGATGGTGAAGCCTTCGGTCTGAACCTTTTTGGGTGTCGTTTCCTGTTCCTCAGCGGCTCGGTGAGCGTCGCTGTTCGCACCGTGGCATGCCATCCCCGAATTCAACGCTGCACCGTAAGGTTGAAACTCAAGGCCTTGGTTCCACGGACAGTCGGGATCCTGTCTGGTTATGATTGCCCCAGAGAACTCAGCCATGGTATTTCGGTGATAGTAGGGCAACCAGTAAGTGTCTTCCATCACGTTCCAACGTGGAGGTATGATGGCGAAATCTACCACCGCGGTCCCAGGCTCGCGGTAAGAGGGTGCAGTCAGAACCGTGAATAGACTGGGATCGGCGTGGTCGTACAGGGTGTTCCCGAGCACGCAGAAACGTGCAAGGTCGTATTTGAATGGGTAAAACGTCCCGTTCCAAGCGGCGACGTCAAAAGGAGTATGGTCCTGAGTGCAGCTAAACAAGTTTCCACCTAATCGTGAAATGATGGTCCAGCTTCTGTCGTTTCCCAGAGCTCGCCCAGCTTGAAGCTTTCCATCAAATGCCGCGACTGGAACTTGAAAGTCACGGATGTTCGCTAATGAGCATGATCCGATAGGTCCCAACTCAGGCAGGCGAAAGTGTCCTTGGAACAGCTCACAAATGAATCCCCGCGAAGGGCCGTATGGCAGAGTGACTCGGTGACGGACTCCTCGGGGAATCATTGCAATTTCGTTCTGTCGTACCAAAAGGTTTCCCATTTCGGTCTGGACGTCGATTGTTCCCGATTGCGGAATGATGAGCATATCACCGTCGAGCGAGGAGAAAGCGTGTGCTGTCTTCATATCCTCTGTAATTGCGTAAATATAAATCGCCAGCCCCGTTTTGGTGGCTGCGTCTCCAGAGTGTGCCAGCAGGGCAGTCTTTGTCCAGTCCGCCCCTTGTTCCACGGGAAAAGACATCCACCGCAGTGGATTGGGTGTCATGTGCGCTTTTGGTATCTCCGTTTTGGAGCCATACGGTTTGAATTTGCTATGTATCATGGACGATTTTGCTCGATAAAGCCACGTCTGCAAGCAATGGCTACGAGGCGAGGTAAACGAACTTCCAGAGATACGCTCGGTGACAAGCCCGAAAGGCGGCTTCTGGGGATTGTTGCATGCTACTGGGCTTGCACCAGGAAATGCTTCCGATCTAGGATGGCGATTGGGGTTAACATATACAAGAAGAATCAATAACGGAACGTCGAGAAATAGGCAATGAACACTCACTGCTGATGATTGCCAAATCCTTCAAGGTATTGGTATCTATCCTGGACAGCGAAATTTGTTATAGGCATTTCGACTTTCGTGAAAGACGCGGAAACTTATGATCTCAAAGAAAAGTCCCTGTTCACTGAGAAGATCTTTTCTCAGGCTTCCACACACTGGATTGCAGGTCTGCCTAGTTCTTGACTTCACCTTTCAACTTCCTGCAATTCATAGAAGTGTATCTACACTTTGTGGACCTGCCAACATCCAGAGGCGAGTCATGAGGGGCGTGTTGATAACTTCGACCCCCACGTTTTCCCTTCGGCTGCTCCTCTCGGGGATTCTTGACCGACGGTGTCATGAGGCACTGACACGCAATACTTTGAACGTCTTTCGGGCACACCCCTCCTCGCAGATGTATCGGATGTTTTCATCTGGTTGTCGTCATCGCTAACTTATCATATGGCCCATGAACAGCTTGTCAATGCATTTGGAAGATCCTCAATAGATAAAGATTAATCTTTCCGGACCTTTTTAGTTGTCAAAAAGCACTTGAGAGGTCTATCGTTTCGTTATGGCGCGCACCCCAGCCTGCACTCAGATGATCATTTTCAGGCACAAGCCTGGTATTAATATTAAAGATCCTGGCTCGAAAGACGGCAAGACCTGGTTTGGGGTCGTCAGTTGGCTCAAGTCTAGTCCAGCTGTGAAGCGACTCTATTGGGGCCTGCATTTAGAGAACAAGAATACAGTATATCTTCACATTGGTACGTGCATGCCATGCTACAGAACTGTCACACCGTTCATATCCAATCTTCTCGACGGACAAGCCCTTGTAGCAACTACTGATGACTTGGTAATTAGTTAGAGAAGGGCTCTATCAACATTACGACTTTTTGGCCTCGCCAGACTATGCAGAGCTAAAACAACGCCTGCAAGACATGATGCAAGGTGATTTGATAGTTCGACATGCCGATCTTATTGAATATACACAGCCTTGCGAATCGATCGGGAGAGGGGCACCGTTTACCGGGACAGCAATCTATAAAGTGACCGACAAGGCTTGGGACTACGCCTGGAACCTGTGGTCAACCATTGTTCCTAGAGTCAAAGGGTGCAAAGGCGTGGCTGGGGGTTACATTGTTGAACCCGTGGATGGACATCAAAGGTGCTTTATAGCACTTGTTGGATGGGAGACTACTCAAGCACACCACGCCTATCACGAGACCCGCCACTGGAAGAATCGAGCAGCCATATTGACGGAAGGACAGAAGGGTTTCAGTGAATACGGTCATATAGTCTTTGAAAGCGAGGCTCATAAACCGCGTTTGTAGCATGAATATAGGATGGGTCCCATGGATGAACTTTGTGCTTGGATGGAAATGAACCATGGATGCCCTCACAGAAGATGATACGGGATGTAAAATATCTAGTGATTGATGGCGCAACTTTCGGTCAACCACTTCCCCAAACTATTTCGTTCCCACTGACCATATCCCGTATTTCCGGTGCAGAGTGTGGGTGGAGGACCCAGAACTCTATGAGGCCTCCATGACTCGCACGGCATCGGTCATGGTTGCAGGGGTGCCGCTATGGACGCGCCTTGCACCGGATTCGGAAGCATGTACTCCACGGCTGAATCTATAAGGCCTGAAGATCTCGTGCATTTCACCCAAGACACGCCGCTCGACTTATTGCCAGTTGTACTGCTTTGTCCGCTTTTGTTTCCTAGGGAGAATGACATCAAAATCCGCAGCCGTGAGAATGATTTCTAAAGAAGAGACTCCTGCTTACGCTCATGATGACTACACCGGCAGCTCAGAACTGGACCCTAAAGAGACCCCGAGCCAGAAAGATGAGAAGCATGACATTGGGGACTTGGACGTCACGAACCGCAAAGCGTTCAAGAGCGATGAATCCGACGGCAAGGTCCAATGGACACCACAGAATGTTCTTGCCTTTATATCTCTTGCTGGGCTTAATGCAGGTAAGCTCTGTGTGTGCTCCACAATGAGGTGCTCAAAAACGGCTTACAAATTCTTGCAGGCTCTCAACTTGTGCTTTACTTCGTTGGGGGTTGCCTATCTTATATTGCTGCCGATCTTGGAGTTGGGCAAGAAGTCGCCTGGCTGCCGGTGGCAAACATCCTGGGTGTCGCAGCTGTGGCCCCCTTTACTGGATATCTCGAGGATCTTCTGGGTCGTCGAATCATCGCAATAGTCGGTGCCTCTCTGCTTTGCATTGGCTGCCTCATTTTGGGGACTGCTCATCACTTTGGGCAAGCTCTTTGGGGTCTATCTATTGCGGGTGCTGGAGCTGCGGTGGGTGAATTGACAGCACTTGCCGGGTGAGTTGTCAATAAGTGTTTCTATGCTTAAAATTGCTGATGTTGCATTGTGAGCAGAACCTCAGACATAGTCCCTGTCAAGCATCGCGGGCTCGCTGTCGCTGCTGTCACGGCCATAATCATTCCATTCTGTCCATCTGTAATGTACGCCCAACTATTTGCTTCACACGATACTTGGAGATGGAGTGCGTGGATACCTCTGTGAGCATCGCGAGCTTTCATCCTTGACCGACAATCTATTGATCACAACTCAATAGCATCTACAACGGCATGGTGGTCATCGGTCTGTCGCTGACGTACTATCCAAAAACACATCCTCGTACGCAAGGAATGACAGCCAGCAGCATTTTGAAGCGCGTCGATTATCTAGGCGGAGCTCTGTCCATTATTGGTGTGACATTGTTGTGAGTTCCCGGAATGTTGCGGTGGCGATTTGTCTTCCTGACCCTTTACAGTCTTGTCGCTTTACAATCAGGTGGCTTTACACACCCATGGAAAAGTGCTTATGTCTTGTGCACGCTCTTGATTGGCATAGCTTTGATTGTTGCTTTTCTCCTTTGGGAATGGAAGGGAGCCAAGTATCCAATGGTGCCGCGAGAGCTATTCGCCGGTCAGAGAGTCGTGGCATTGGCATACAGCATCGCCTTTATCGGAGGAATGAGCTTTTACTCGCTGCTCAACTTCTATCCTCTGCTTTATTCTACTATATACAACCCGGCGCCCATTAAGGTGGGTGTGAAGGCTCTGGGAGTCTCATTGTGTACCACCTTTGGCGCCATTGTGGGGAACTTACTGCTCTCGACCTCGAGAGGTCGAGCGCGAGAGATTCTTCTTATTGCAAGCATCATAATGAGTAAGTATTGAGTGTGCTATTTGAAATTGGACTTTCCTGTAGGATGCTGACGAAACCGAAAGCCGCTTTCGACGGTGCAATTGCAGTCGCAACTCCATTCAATGCAAACACGACCGTCACCGTTGGATCTCTGGCCGGCATTGGAGTCGGTGGCATTCTTGTGCCCGCCGCGACAGTTGCCATGATTGTAGTTCCTGACTCGCTTCTGGCCACTGCTGTTTCACTCTCCTTGTCAGTTCGAACCGTCGGAGGTTCGATCGGATACAGTATCTACTACAATGTCTTTGCCAACAAGTTGAAAGCAAAGCTACCAACCTATGTTGCGGAATACGCCATTGAAGCCGGTCTGCCAACCAAAGAAGCAGAGGTCTTTGTCATTACATTCTTGACGGTTCCAACACAGGCTTCGAAGATTCCAGGAGTCACGGCAAAAGTGCTCGAGGCGGCGGCTCTGGGTTCACGGTGGGCCTATGCAGAATCTTTGCAGTATGTCTGGTACACTAGCATTGCGTTCGGCTCCGTGGCGATCATACTCTGCCTGTTCTTGCCATCAATCAAAAAATACGGGACGAATCGTATCGCGGCAGAGCTTCGACGGGGAAAGATTGTTCAAAGACATCGTCGCGGTAATCAAACCCAAGTCTAAAACATTGCTCATGATTGGGTCAAGTAGGAAGAAAAATAGCGTAACAGAGACCCGAAGAGATTCTGTTACAGTAAAATAGGCTCTGAAGCTGACATTCCTTTGAGATCTGGCTCTGATATAGATCACACGTTTGCGACGCAGATTTGCAAACGTCTTCCAAGCGCGTATGCCCCTACGTTGCTTTCTCTCAAATCATCCTCTGCTCCGGTCAATCGCCAACATGGGCACTAACCTCAATCTCCACCTTCATATTCTCCAGTCCCAATCTGGGCACCTCAACGGCCGTCCAAATGGGCCGATGTTTCTTTCCACACCACTTTGCAATCTCGGTTTTGACCTTCTCGATAACCTCACCATTGAGTGGTATGTGGTAGCTATTCACCCTGAAGACTTGGCCCCAGCCCCTTTCCGCGCCGGCTTGCTTCAGGTTCATGTCGACGTTCTTGAAGGCTTGCTCAATTTGGTCCAGCTGGGTGCTTGTTTCGGAGACAATTCCGGTGGCAGGATCCCAGCCGCCTAGGATAATAGAAGGAAAAGAATGTTAGCAGGGAATCGATCCATGATTTCGTAACAAAATAGGACTCCTGTTGAATCTTCGTCTTCCGGAAACAGCCCTGCTGAGTGGAATTCCGTTTAAATGCCCCCATGCCGCCCCCTCTTGCCGTGATATCGAAATATCCAGACCTCCCCTGTTCGCCCCCCATAACCGAAACCCAGAGAAGTTTTAATGCGACATACCTTGTCCTGCGCATTCAACTCGATCCCCCACGCGCACAGCCTGACTGTAAATGTCCGCCATCTTCTCGCCAAATCCAGGATAATTATAATATTTCAGATGAGACATGATTGCGCAAAGGCTCGCTGGTGGCTTGAAAGTTTATACTGATTGAAGATATGGAGAGAGGTCGATCTCGATTCCACTGATCGAATTTGAACCGTTCACTTCGGCTGATAAGAGAAGAACATGATCAGTACCTGCGACAAGGCCCGTCGTCTATGTATAAATTCTATCCTGCAGAAACGTTTCTAGGCGCTTACTAATGACGACTCTCGACATCGCCGCTGACGTGGATTTTAAATCAAGCCTTTTGGAGACGACTACTTTTCTCCGCGTTACACCAACCGGATCCGAAACAGCTGGGAGGATACCATGGAGCATGGTCAAGTCGCAGGGCCATTACTGCCAGGCAGAGTCAAGCCTCTGAACCAGCTTTTGAGAAATTTCAGGTAGCAAACTCGAACA